TCATCTCACAATTTTGATTGGTCGATCGGCCAATAAAATCATGAGATGATCAACAAAATCTAACCAATCACAATAAAAGTTCGCTACATATATACAATACGCATTTCTGTAATACCCAACCGAAAAAGTACACACGATGATGTTGCATGTACAAAGATCAATTTGATATACCTCGAACTTCGTACTACGTTCCTGGTATAACAGATAATACAAAGGTGGTTTAAATAGTGATATGGGCCGATAACAAAACTTTGGACCGGGTCTGACATTAATATAGTGCGGCCCGGTCGACCAGGCCGACTATTTTACAAAAAAGAAATTTCAGCCAATAAATGGATTAGTTTTATAACCTTTTCATTTTTGGTGTAGTTGATCATCTAACTAAATTAATACGTGATTGTTAAAGTCCACAGTATGTAATATTGATATTGATACAAGGCTAACATCTAATAAATATAGTAGGTTCCAGAAGGTTGGTCCTTTCATATTAATCAAAATGTTTAGCGCGAAGCACATATTTTAAGAAGGATTTCGATTTTATCATAAAGTAGTATAACAGTGTTTCGGCCTAAACCTCCCCCAAAGTCTGAAACGTTTCGCCCAGAGGAATTTTAGTTTCGCCCTATAAGTCCGAAACCCTTAGGCCCAATTTGAAATGATCTACAAAATCGGGGTTCGCCCGAAACACTGTAGTATAGTAATATTGATCTTCCTTCATTAAGTCCACACCATTATTAGCTCGCTATTACAGAATTATTATGTCCATTAGAAACTCAAAATTTCAAGTATTGGTTGGAGCTACGTTACGCATTTATTATGCGTTGCTCTCCCGAACCAAACAGTACAAAATTTAATTTATAACAGTTTGCTAATTTAGGAAAATACGGAAGGCTGATAGGTATACGCTTACTTTTGTTATAGTGAAGTCCCCGGGCTGATAATAAAATCTTCACTATAGCTTATATTGAGAGAATGCTATATGAACTGGAATTCAAAATATTCTTCATTATATCGAATCTTCATTATAACGGGAGTTTACTATAAACTATAAGATAACTAGAGTGAGTTATATTTTGTAGAATTTACGAATCTATGCAAGTCTAACAAGTTGAAATAAACAATGTAAAAGCAAGAATTTTTAATCATTAAAAATAATTCATCAATTCTCAATTTTATGATTCGCTTGTAGTTTTATTCAACATAATAATACAATAAAAATTTTTATTTTACCTTAATCGGCCCTGGCTCATGAAGTTACGAGTCGGCCATCGGTCCGGCTGATAGGTTGAGGTCGGCCATATCACTAGTTTTAATTTATCTTATAAATTAAATTTGGATTGTAAATTATATTCGGTTATAAAATTATATCCGGATTCAAACGGATTACAGCTGTTTTCATAAATTCTGGAACAACTGAAAAAATTACCGATGACCGAATCGATAAGTTACCGAGTCGGAATCAATAAGTAACCGACTTCGGCCGAACTCAGAATTGGTCATCAGCAATTTTTTCAGTTGTTTCGGAATTTATGAAACAGCTGTAATTAGTTCTCGTAACCCGGCCGGGTCGAATTTTGAAATTTTTGTAAAAAAATTTTTGGTTTACAGCCATTTTCATAATTCCTAGAACAGTTGATAAAAATTGGCTGAATGATTTTTCGGCCAATTCGATTAAGTTTGTGATTTTGGCATAATACGTAGATTCAATAAATTCATATATACGTAATTTAAGATCAGGTAACTTATATAAATATTATTGAATATACTTTCAAAGCATCTTAGCTAGAAAATATTTGAAAAAAATTTTAGAAGGCTTATCGTTTCGAAAAGTTGCTAAACACTTAGGTGTTAGCATATTTTAAGATCTCAAACACTTTAAAGTATTGAAAAGCTTCTGTCACTTTCAGAACCACGTTCACTGAACATGAATGATACCGATACAAAATATTTTAAAACTTTAATGAAAAAATCTGATTGGTATTTGTACTTTAAATGACCTGGTCATTTGATCAAAATTTAAGTGACCTCAAGTCATTAAATAATGACCTGTCTCATTGAGGTCATTTGAGACATTTACGCATAAAATAATTTTATTGGTTTGATTACTAAAAAAGTTATTGGATTTCTAGCCAATAATCGTAGCTCCATACACAATATAAGTTAAAGCTAATCGTATGTCTTAATTAAGTAGTTCGGAATAACAAATTGCACATCTAAAAGTTTCATGTAATTTGAGTAACTCTTTATTCACTTCCGCATTTCACATTTAAATAAAAAAATTCTTAATCTTCCATAAATGCGAAAGTGAATTAATGGGGGTTTCAGAGTTAACTTATTTTGAAAATAAATAAGAGTTTGAAAGTCCTATTTTTGGTTTGAAATTTCGAAATCAGAAAATGAAAAAGGAGTTGTCTGGAGGCAAAATAAACAAACTTTTTTTGATGATGAATATTATATCTTATATAAATAGGCTTGCAAATAAAAATAAATAGGATTTATAGATCGTGATTACAAAATTAATGCGCCGCTAATTTAATTCGAAATCAGAAACCTGAACCTTAAATCTGAAACCCCCTAATAAAAGTTATTCAGTATATGCAATTTGTTATTTTGAATATTGACTACTTAATAAATTTTGACTTTTAAAAGAGTTACGATTATTGGGGGTTTTTCAGAATTAGCTTTTTTTCAAAAATAAGTGGGAGTTTAAAAGATCCTATTTTCTTTTTTAGAATTCCGAATCAGAAAATTAAATAGGCATAGCCGGTAGAGCCGGGATCCGTGAATATCCACGGTTAAAAAAGAATATTCAATTAAGAGTGAATATTTGTTACATAAAATTCACGAATAGAGTATTATACGGAATTCGTGAATATTCGAGATGAATAATCTAAGATTTTACTATTGCGTGAACATCCATATAAAATTTGAATATTCATTCAATATCATTCGTGGATGGCAAAAACCCATGAATATTCATTGAATAGTCATATTCAACGGATCCCAGCTCTAATAGCCGGTGATAAAATTAGCTTTTTTTTTTGATAAATATTCATCGGTAAACGATTATGTAAATAAGTACATACTTTAAAAAAAATAGAATTTGTACGTCGCTTCTTTTGAAATAAATACTCGCTTATTTTATCTGAAATCGGACGCCGAATCATTAATTCTGTAACCCCCTTAATTATATTTTTCATATAAAAATTTGCATTTATCATGTAGCCAAATTTATTGATTAAAAACTGGTAGAACACCAATTAACGTATGTTAAATGACCTTTTCAGCTATTTAGGCATTCGAAATGACCAATTACTAGCCATTTGTCATTTGAGTCATCAGGTCATTTCAAGTAATTTACCATTCCTGAGTATATACAGATAAAAGTAATATTTTATTTACAGTCTTTTAACATGTACTTCGTGCAATATGTTTAGTTTAAAAGTCTAATTAATATATATAGTACATTTTTTATATTTCCTGTTAAGACTTATTGACATACTAAACATGTTGGATAAGCATTCGAGCGAAAATTTAATAATGTTGACATTATAGTTACAACGGTCTGTAAAACAGTCATTATGATATGGATCATGCCGAAAATTACAAACTAATCGGATCGGCTGAAAATTCATTCGGCCAATTTTTATCAGGTGTTTCAGGAATTATGAAATAACTTAAAAAATAAATGCTACAAATTTGTGCAGAATATTCTGAATGCGTTTATTGATGGTCTTTTATTCTCAATAATAAACGCAAATGAGAAAGAATTTAAAAAAGCATTTTAAATGGCAAATTTCCTAGTTTTAATTAGATTATATTGATCTCATTAATTAATACAGTAAATGTTTTTTCTACTCCAGCTATCGCTATATTTAAAATGAGCTGAAAATGGAATGCAGTATATCGATATCGTGTAAAAATAAATGCTATTGAATAACTTACTATATGTATAAATACAGTAAATACATCGATTAATAGCCTTTAAGTTAGTGACTAACGCTAAATGTACCCGACTTACCTATCGGCTAAGCCGCTAAGCCATTAAAAATTTAACGGCTTAGCCTAACCGTAAAAATTTATTAATCGGCTTTAAATATTTATTTTATTTTACAAATATATCACCTGCATTAATCTATTAAAAAAAGGCAATACACCCTTAAAATTTCGCTGGTCAAGATCAGGTGTAACGCAGAAGAAACGCAAAAAGTCAAAAATCGCTCATAACAGAATTTGCCTATGAAACTACCTTCTGCGCACTAACAAAAAGTTTTCTTTGAGAAGTTTTGGTAGTAAGAAGGGCTTCTAACCTAACTCTAATTTGACTGCGAAATTTTTTTTAAATTGGTAACGTTAGTTAGAGTCACCTGTGTTAATACAAAAAAAGTAACGCTAAACGAAGTTTCAAATTCAATGGTCTAACGCTAAGGGTGTTTGTTATTCCAAAAATAGAATTCATCCTACAAAGACGATGCACTAATAATAGTAAAATAGTATACGAAACATTAAATTTTCCTTTTTTTGATTTTAACGAATTCTATATTAATTTTAACCTTACAGTTGAGTATATTCTCGCTTTAATTTTTTTTTTTATTATTATCTAAAGTGAAACGTATCCTATATTTATTTAAATTTTAACACTATTATATTGTCCCTTTACGTGTAAAATTATTATTTTTTTCGTTTAGCCGAATTACATTTTAATACAAAAGTCGTAGCTTAATAATATAATGTGGAGCTTTTTGTTTTTAATTTTACTCAATAGTTTACAGGTAAAAGGTGGTTCGCAATTTAGTAACTGCGTAGGTGGTTTAAATTATCAAGGAATCATCAACTATGTTGATAACAGTAGCAATAATATCTTTACTTATGGATACACGTTTGGTTGTTTTAATGGTAAATGTACTGGATTTCCTACCCCTTTCGCTGAGCTAGATATAACCTTTCAATGTAATAATCTTACTAGTCAGTCAAGGTTTTGCATCACTACTGGTTCTAATACTAATGGAGCAATTGGAGGTTTATGCGGAGGAATACTTGGTGATACACCAGCAACTAGTTTAATAACTAATGAATCAACAATTGGATGTCCTTCTCTTGACGCTGTATCTAATGCACTACGATATGGTCCGACTACCGACACAGCTTTCACTTGGTTATGTTGTGCCTCGAATAATTGCGTAGCATTAAACAATGTCACGGTAAATAATGGCTGGGCAACAACAAACTGCGGACATGGTTATTTATACAACAGTTTAATGTGTTTCACTGATAATGGCGGTTGGACATGTGCTGGTGGTCAGGACAATGTAGTAGCTGTGAACAAGAAAGCAGTATCATCCATGTTTACTGGTATTAGCTCAACTAGTGTTAATAAGTGTATATTACAAGTGGGAGGAATAGGGTTTTCTAGTAATCTGCTTTCAAGCACGTCTAATGGATCCAACATTTCAAACTTATTCAATTCAAATGCTGCCTGTGAAGTTAATCGTCCTATACTTATAGCTACTACCATTTTCCTAGCTGCTCTTTTACTTTTGGCTATTATTTTAGTTTTTTATTATCGACACCAGTATAAAAAGTTGTCAATGGTATACCAGGATACCAAGGATACCAAAGGATACCTATCTCAAGTAGTAGATAGTTCTACATAAAATTATACCGAGATTTATGAGAGATGGGTTCTCTGAATAATTATTCTGATTATTTGGAAACTCGACGGTTCAAGATTTCGAAATTCTAGTAATATATATATATATATATATATATATACGATTGAATACATATTGTGTATTTTTATTCAAGCAAAAAAATTTTTTTAAGCGTGCAGTATTGTTACGCGTGTATAGATAGGCACGATCAGTTGAGGGAGAAACGCGCAATTTTGACATTATTTAGCTAGTAAACTTTTTTAGGACATTATTGCAGTATAATATTATATTATCTAAGCGAAGCAAAGTAAATCATATCTAGCAGGTCAAATTTTTTCAATTTAAAAAATGTATATATATTTTTTTATTTCATATTATATTTGAAACTTTAAAAAAAATTATATCTATTGTATATACAATAACCGGATGGATATTTCAATAAAAATATTACTTTATATCCACAAGTTGATGTATAGCCCTCTAAATTGTCATAAGACTAACTTTACGTCCTAAATAAATTTCCACCTCTGATTTAATTTTCCGAAAAGATAATCTTACTAAATTTTTTTCGATTATCTGCCAGCGAATATGCTTTGAGAGTATCATATTTAACCAACAGGAGGAACCGTCGACGTTACACGGCTGATCCTTCACCCGGTGTACATATAAAAAGATTATTTTACAATACCAGATAATTTCGCTAGTACCAGTGTGTGAAATTCAAATTTAATTTTATGTTCTCATAAGAACATCCATATAATAGATTTTGAAATTTTTTATGTTCTCACATAAGTGTAACCTAAAATTTTTATGTTCTCAGA